TCTCTCTCTCTCTCTCTCTCTCTCTCTCTCTCTCTCTCTCTCTAATCTATCGATACATTTGTGATAACATATTGTTGTGATTCTTATCAACAGATAATCCAAATATACATACAGTGTATATATCATAATATCAAACAAACAAATATATCATTCAATGAGTATTTGTTTAGTCATTGATTTATATCAATAAATTAATTTTAATGTTTATGACATTGATTTTGAAAAGCAATCAAACAAAACAATAACTAATATTAGAGTACTTGAAATGAAAGGTTTTATTTATATCACACGTACTTTTAAATCAAATAAAAGTAATTCATATCTGAATCGTTGATTAAGGCATTAACTGCTGAAACAATCAATAGATTGGTTAATAAATTAATGTCATTATTGTTAAGCAAAAAGAGAGACATAAGAGAGGTATATATTGTATGATAGGGTGAATGGCCTGACGTCTCAGGGATTGCATCAGATATAAGAAATTGACTGACGTTTACATACAGTATATGTCAACATATAATGTCAATAAACTCTTCGGGTATTCATCACATGTCTTATCTAACGGTTAACATAAGAGGGGGTTTACATATGGGAGGTGTGGGCCGGCAGTGGGGCTTAGGTTTAGGTGAAAGGGTTGTGATAATAGTAACCATTAATAACAATGACTACCAAAATTTGGGAATTTACCTAAAACATGGTTTATTGATTTAATTAAGCCAAAATATTTATATTGTTGTATTTTCTCGAAACTTTATTTATAGATCTACAAAACAGTGTAATTCATTTGTCTGTATCTAATGTGGTTCCGGAGTAAACCCCACCCGAAGTGGTATATCTCCGAAAACGCTTTGGCAATGCTATCCAATGGGAAGCAAAAAATCGGGGAAATAGATATGTTGAAATATTTTAATCTAAAACATCAGGATTTGTAATTTATGTCTAAATCCTATTTTCTATATCCAATCTTTGCGATAAATTACTTTTGGACACTTTATTCTTCCTTATTATAAAAGTGACCAGGTCAATGTGCCAAAAGGTTTTCCGAAGTTGCACTCTTCGGGTGAGGATTTCTCCGGGACGGGAATAGATACAGACAAATGAATTATACTGTTTTGTAGATCTAACTTCCTTATTATAAAAGTGACCAGGTCAATGTGCCAAAAGGTTTTCCGAAGTTGCACTCTTCGGGTGAGGATTTCTCCGGGACGGGAATAGATACAGACAAATGAATTATACTGTTTTGTAGATCTATAATCACAGTTTTAAGAAAGTACAACAATTAAAAAGTTTCGGCTAAAATTAATCAATAAATCATGTTTTACGGAAATTCCCAAATTTTGGAAAGCTTCGTATATACAGAAAGTAAACAAACATTTACTTTACTGTTTATTAAAATTACATTTAATTTAACTAACTGTAAATTACGGTTTGCTAAATTGCAATTATAATAATAATTATGAAATTTATGTTAATGTTAAGAATTGCGAGTAAAAAGTAATAACAATTATAACGACAATCACTGCCGAAGAGGGCGTAAACACCGGCGGATTGTTTGGACACTAAATGTAATGATAATATAGAGGACATCGAGGAATACAAGACACGCATAAAGCGATGATAATTACCATAAAGTCTTGAAAGTACACAACCAACTTCTGCAAAAACAACTAGTTGACTAAGTACTCTAACCCTAAGTTTAGCTAAAGTGCCGTGTTGACTAGGTATACACTCTGTTACCAAACGGACAGCCTGCCTAAGTACAGAAGGCGTAATGTCTAAGCGATGGTATGGGATATGACTGACACTGTGTTTGTGTCGCCACTCTGTCTGGCAGTCAATGATTGACACAAATGGTGTCCAACACTACAAGAAGTGGTGATAAATATGACAAACAATAAACACAACACAACACAAGTCTGTCGATCACTGAGTCATCAAAACAAACACTCATTCAATAATAATGTCCACAAAAAACAAGTTTTATTTTTCTCAACAAAAACTTTTCGCATTTCTCTCTTCGATATCTAATCTCAATGTTTAACCAATTCTTTGCATTTCTATTCACTTACTGTTCATATATTTTATGTGTTTTACTGATTAACACACGTTTTTGTAGAGCAAAAACATTGCGATTAAACGTATAATACTTGCGTAATTGCTGATTTATTTCGTTTATAAATACTGAATAAATTGTGGTGAAAAGTGAAAGAGACAGCTCAAAACAATCGTTAATTAACTACTCTATAATTGGTGAATAGTGACGTATCCTCAGCAATGACTGTATGACTGTTCCCTTTAGTGCCAACCCTTGCCATAACTATAGCCATGGTTTGGCTAAACCATTAAAATGATGGTCAGTTGACGTCAAACTAATAATCATTATAAATGACATCATTTTGCATACAACTAACACTTTCTGTGCATTAATTCCTGCGATGGGAAAGTGGTGTGATATTTATGACCAAGCTTACATTCTTGAATTCCTGCACACCTTATAGTTTTGTTGCCATAATTAGGTCAACAGTTGGCAATCTTAATATATTATGCAATATTAGCATAGGTTTGGATTTTGATACGAAAATGTATCGAAATGTTTGGTATTTATGATATGATATCTAAATTAAATACTGCGTTAACTCTTAACTCGATTATTGAATGCATTTCCAAAAACAATGTAAATATTGATTTATCCCACAATCGACTCTTTCTATCGTTTAATATAACCTTTGTTTCCAATGTGTTGACAATTAGGCATCAAATGTGTGTCATTATAATTGTATCAATCATTACATTCAATACAATGCAACGACATTGACATCAATACATTCGTGATGTACAGTACTATCCATACAA